TAATAATAATAATAATAATAATAATAATAATAATAATAATAATAATAATAATAATAATAATAATAATAATAATAATAATAATAATAATAATAATAATAATGACAGTGAACAGGATAGGATACAAAAAGTATTTTAGGATGAGGAAAGTAAGCGGTATTGGTGTAGTGGTGCCTGCAATTATACTGCACCCTTGCTCTTCTTCACGCTTTCCATGTCATCCCCGCAAAGCTATATACTTGAACTGGTAATTCATGTATTTGTGCGACAGTTGACAGTCTCCTGTCCTCCTACTAATAGCCATCCTCTTTCTTGTTCGCATAACCTCGTCCATTTTATGCCTCAATAAAACTATCATCAAACAAATTTCCAGCTCAAAATGTCGAAAATTTTTTACATTTCTTTTTTCTTTTTTACGTTGACAAATGGTTGCATAGACAGACAGACACAAACATATTTATACACACATATACTTACTGTTACTACCTCATACCATAAACCCTCCTTTATTTAAGTTAAAAAGAGAAATATTTGAATTGATGTTTAATAGTTCAAAATTGTTTGCAAATTTTCTTTCCCTCTCATATCATCATATCTTTCTTCTTTCCTTCTCCTTTTTACCTCCGTGAATTATTTTGATTGTAGGCGAATAAAAAAATTTTCGTTGTGATGATAAAATCTTAAAAAAGGAAAAAAAATGAAAAAAAAGTGAGATAATTGTCTGTTTCTTAAATATTTAGAAATTACTAGAAAATAAAATGACAAAATGGTAAGAAATAAATTTAGAGAGGGAAAAACTTATGGGAATAAAAATCGAGCAAGCATGCAAGCATGCAAAACGGAATCATACCAATTGGTAGCAAATAGCATGCAACATGCAAAAAGGAATCATACCAACTGGTAGCAAATATTAACAGGCAATAAATATATATAACGTTGAATGAAGCAATTTTCGACTAAATGATTTTTTCTATTTTTTTTTTTTGATGATTAACCAAAATAAACATTGGTAATATTTGCGAACAAATTCCATTTCTTTTTAGAACAAATTTTGCTTTTGTAGGAAACTTCAAGAATAAACCAATCATATATTAATAGCAAAGATCGAATGAATAATAATGATAGGAAATGGAGTAAATATGGTTCGACCAATAGCAATGAGGGAAATTGGAATTGCAATTTTTTTGCAAGCTTTGACTGAGAGATTGGGAGAGATCGAGTTGATCAGAGTATGTAATAATAATTGATCTGAAACCACGCATTGTTATGACGTGAAATACCGGAAAAGATTCCGGTTGTGCATTTTTAACGCTTAAATCTCTTTGCAGGTGTAATTATTGCATACTGAAACCGTTACTTTTTAACTAATTGGTAAAAATGATTTTTCTTTCTCTTTTATATACCATTTTCAAATAGCATTAAGCTAAAACATTGTTCCATTTGGCAAAACAAATTATGAATTATATCGGATGAGGAGACAAGCGGATGATGAGATTTAAAATTTTACCCAAAAATGGGACATCTCATTATTGATCTACTGGAAATACACTCGTTTTTCACACGTGGATACGCTTGTTCTTTCATCTCGTTTAGAAAACTCAGTTTTAATAAATATGAAATTCAAGTTGGAAATTACAATTTTAATTCGAATTATTTTTACATCAACATTTCTACTACAAATGATATGATGTTATTCATGTAAATCAGAACAATTTCGCTCTTAATAACAACAGATTCCTCTACCTATTTCCATTTTTTATGCTACTTTTCCTACAGTTCTTATGGAGTATTTACCAGTTTTATTCACGTTTCATTCACATTTTATTCACGTTTCACTCACGTTTCATTTCGAAGCAATTGGTATTAGTAGTATAAATTTGTGTTAATTGTGCACGAATGCTTGCTTTTCTGCATTGAATGGATTGAATGTAAGAGCAAACGTGTTATATCATACATTATCAAATGTCATCAAATCTTTGAAATACCTCAATCTTTGTAGTATTTCAATTTTTCGATCTGGAAATTTAAATTTGCTTAATTTCTTTTTTGAAAAAAAGTCAAAGGAAAAATTACTATGTATTTTATTCAATCACAGGATAATTTAGCATCAAATGAATTTGAAACAATTTATTTGACTATTATCATCGTGTAAACGCAAAACATTCATTTTTAGGTTTAAGATATGATTCATCAGTGAGATGATTTTATTTCCGGCCTACAATTAACCAGAAATATTCGTTTGATGTAACGATTGACGACAATGGTTCAACGTCCAATTACTTGCGCATGGAATTACATTAATGAAAGTAGAGAAAAGAGTGAAAAGTAAAAAAGTATTATTTACAATAGGAAAAAAAGAATTACGAATATGCAAAAGTGTCCTTTAAAGTACGAATGCATTAAGCAATCGAACGAAGAATAAAATTCGCGCTTTTTTTTTAGTTTTCTTAAAACAAAAGAATTAATTACAGCGTTTTATTACAGAGTTTGTTGATTACATTTTATGAAATATGTAAAAATGACTCTATTTTTTGTCCTTTTTCCAGGTTAACTGATTTATAAGAATTCGAAAATCATTCAAGAAAGAAAGTGTATTTTTATCCTTCAATAAATTTTAATGATTTTGTGAAATGGTATTTGAAATCGATTTTCTATTATTTGCTCTAAATTATATAATATTATACCCTTTGTAATTTACTGTGAAGAAAATCAGGAATTATTCAACCATTAATTTTTCTTCATTACAATTAAACCTCATTTATTCATTACATTCAATTTGATCATTGGCAATTTAGATTTCTTTGCAGGACTATTTTTGTTCTAATATGCTCAAATAAATCAAATAACGAAAATTTTCCTTTCTTTCCCTTTTTTGTGCAAAAAAAAAAATTAAATATACTTTGCAAGGATAAAATGGATCAGTTACCGGATTATAGCATAAAGGCTTAACATTTTTACTGGATTTACCTAAATTTATCATAATATTAAATAACGATGAAAAAGCAAGTAAAAAAGAAAAAAGTTGTTGATTAAGAAATAAGAACGGAAGAGATAATTTTTTTGTTTTTTAATATTTCAAGAGTTTTTACCCAATTAAAAGACTTCGAGTATTTATTTTTGAAAAAATAGTTCTTTATTGTTACTGCAAATAGACAGTTTTGGAGTTATTTGATTTTCTTCTATGCTTTTAAATTTGATTTCGCTTCAACTTAACCATATTCTTTTTTTATTTGATGGCGTAACTGAAGTAAGTAACTGGCTTTTTTTTTTTGAAAACAGGTGACATTTTATTATGTAATATAAGTAACGTTCAAGAAGCTTTAAATTTAAACTAGAATTTAAAAGTTGGTTATTCTAAACATCAAAATATTCTTTGTCATGAGGATTAAAGATAGAATAAGGGAGCATTCACTACGAGTTCATTTTTCAATTCAGAAGGTACATACGATATGAACAGCTGTCTATCTGAACTAACATCACAGTTTGGTGAAGAAATCGGAAGTAAAACAACTAATCTTTAATCAATATGTTTTTTTATCATTAATGAGTTTACTGACAATTATTACTATGTAAAATAATTATTTTATCATAATGCAGCATAATTATGGCATTTTGAATCATATCATTTCGATATCAGTTTCATATTTCTTTTAATTATCATAATTTTTTAGATGTGCTAGTCGCCGTTTTGACAATTTTTCTGGTACTCCGATGTGGACATGGGCAATACCCAGCATCTTCACCTGGTGAACCCGCAAAACCAGGACCACCTGTACCACCAATATAGCCACGTTGACCTGAATGATACTTATCAACTACTATTAGAACAAAAAGTTAATTAGCTAAAAAGTATTCAATAAAATTTTTGGATGTACTGTAAGATTAATGACCATGAATAAGGTTGTGGATTTGGTTTCTAGGAAAAAAAATAATAATAAGTTACCCGGTTGCCCAGCATCTCCTTGTGGTCCCACTGGACCTTGTGCACCTGGACTTCCTGGATTTCCTGGTGGACCCATGAAACCTTTAGGTCCGATTTGACCTCGTGGACCAGGTTCGCCTACTACACCTGGAGCTCCACGTACTCCTTCTCGACCTGGCGGTCCTGGTGGCCCATCTTTACCAACTGGTCCTGCCTCGCCGCTGTCACCTGGCGGTCCAACTGGGCCAGGCTGACCTGGATGTCCCGGAAGACCATCATTTCCCGGCGTACCCTACAAATGATAGTCTTGTGAAATTGCCAAGATTTCCGAGTTAAACCTGAATATTTAATTTATCTAGAATATGACTAATTTAGATGAATTAAACAAATTGTTAAACAACTCGAAACATTCCAAGAGAAGATAATTAAAAGTAAAAATTCCAAGAGAAAATAATTAGAAGTAAAAAAGTACCTGTGTTCCTGGCGGTCCTGGAGGTCCCGGATATCCTACATGGCCAGGTGGTCCTGGTGGACATACCCTACACGAACCATAGTCTTTCGGTGGCTCAATCGGTATAGTAATCCCCGGAAGACCAGGTTCGCCTGGTGGACCTGGTTGGCCAGGCATACCATCCATTCCGTCCATACCTGGTCTACCGGGTGGACCAGGTGGACAGCGACCCGCTGTATCACAATCTGCAGCAATGATCAATTATTATATTTGTTAAAATTGAATTAAGACAATAAAATGTAACGGAAGGAAACCAATTTTTGAGTGAAACTTACGACATTGTGGATCCGGTGGTACTTGACGAGCTAGACGTCTTTGTATCCTTGGTTGCATAGTTCGGGCTTCTTGAAGCTCCACCCAGATTTGATCCTACAGAACTTTTGCTTGAACAGCCATTTCCACTCTGGCTGATTGTTAATTTCCAAATATAATTTTGTAGTTGATATTAATTGTTACTAACTTACTGTCCTTCTGGTTTATCAAAAGTTTTCATATGCGGTTTCAGATGTGCTTATTTTTCTTGAGGCTGAAAATCTGAGATTCTTTGAGACATTTTCAGATGGAATGTATGGAAAGGCCAAATAGCAAAGGAAGTTCTGACTAACACTTCTTCTACGATCCATTAGAATATTGCAGATCTAAGAATTCAGAAGTTATTTCCCTTAAGGTAGATTCAAAAGTTATTCATTTCATCCTTTTCATTATTTTTACTAACATCTCATTTAACCAACCTGTTATATATTCTAGATCAGGAATGAAACCCTAGCTCGATTTCAAACCCATTTCTGTGAATCAGCAAGCTATTTTCTTAACATTTTACTAGATTTCTTAATTAGTTATCCCCGCATCCATCCCGACCGTTTCCAAATATCGGCTTAATTGCTTTATTATACATCAATGTTTCCTTTCCTCACATTTGGTTGTATTCTATCATTTTTCCCTTTATTATCATTATTGTTTTGGGCAAAGAATAGAATTTGAAATCAAAAATTAGTTAAAAGTCTCCAAAAAAGATTTTTTTGCAACAAAATCTTCAAAATAACAGCAAATTTCAGCAGTAACTAACAAAAATAAATGATGAAAATATTGGATAAATCGTATGAAAAATTTTATAAAATAAATGTTTCGAAAGGCTTTTTTTCTTTGAAAATAATCGAAAAATAACATTTCAAAAATTATTTCTGGTACATACTTTTGTTCTAAAATGCTTCTTATTGTCCATCCATTTTTTCACTTTGTTTTTTGTTTTTTTTTCTGTTTTTATTCGTTATTTTCATTTTTATTTTTACAAATTCACTAATAGGCATTACTAACATTTTTATGGAAATTTGGAAAACACGTTTGGAAATTTCGGAAATATGTTAGTAGGTCAGTATGGTAACATTTTTAAATTCGATGAACTAAAATAACAAAAAAAAAATGGATTGAAAATATGAAAAATTGGTGTGAAGCAAATTCGATTTCGAATTTTAGTACAATATTATTGGATGAAATAAACTCACTTGCATAACCATAAATTCATCCATATTTGCGGCTAACTTATATTTAAGCATCATAACAGAGCCGAAAAATTGATGCATTTGAGCAAAGATAAAGGTTATCGTAATAATCGAAGCAATAATAGCCGAAAAAGCGACTGCTTTAACTTTCATCATAATTATGACTAAATCCTCACAATGGAATATCGTCCAAAAAAACGGAAATGGAAATTTTACTGCAAAGTGCAATCGATTGAGTTAGTTTTTAAAACCTTTTACTTAATAACAAATTTGTCAACGACTCAAGAGCAGAACAGCACTTAAATCATCAAATCAAAAAATTAAAATCATCGTACAACAACCTCACGAGCAATCTTTTCTATGTCAAACTTTATTATAGTTGACTGATCACTGATCAAGAATTAAATCAACTAAAAATTTAAAAAGTAAGCCGAATAATGCTATTCTTATATAACATGTCTAAAAACAGATTTTATGAAAATTAAGGAAGGATCAAAAAAGCATAAATTTCTCGATGCATGAAGTATGATTCATCTAATAAAGTTGCATTACCAAGCTAATTAAAACTTTTTTGCTAATTGGCCAGTCAAACAGATGTAATATTTGTAGCTTTGCTACGTACTTTGATGTCACCGATATTGAGGAATTTGTCATAATAAAAATGTAAATAATTTTAATAATGATGGAATTTTTGATGTAATACAACAGCTTTTATATGAAGGGACAGGGTGGATGGTACTGGTTGTCAATGGTGATTATACCGGTATTGGTAGTAAATGATGATAATGATCACAGTGGTATTAACGACGGATAGATTAATAAATCGCTGGAATGGATTTTCTGGTTCCACTGCAGCATTCCAGGTATGCATAGTTTGATGGAAGAGGAAGAAGATCAGAATTTGGATAGATGGCAGTGTTGAAGAATTTAAATCAAACCATCATCTAAAACTCGTTATTTTATATTATCCCAAAATATTTGTTCCGTTATACTGTAGGTTGGGACAGGAAGAATGCGAGAAAGGGAAAAAATAAACAAATAAACGAGGAATGTCATCTTGTTTAACTTCTTTTCTTCTCTTTATTTTTTCTGATTATCTTTCAGTTGGAAATTTGATTTTGAATCCTTTTATTTCCCACTCTATTTCTTCATTCTTTGTGAATGAAAAAAATAGAACATTCACTAGTAATGAAGAATTATTGGTTGGTTTGCTCCAATCCCTCTTTGTTTTTTTTTCTTCCCTTAAAATTAACTTGTTTTATGGATTAAATTTTTGTACCGGTTTTCGTTTTTTTTTCGTTTCAGAAATAAGAAGAAATCTCTTTTTATCTCTCTCTCTCTTTCTCTTTCTTTTTCGAAAACTCAAAATTTAATTTTATCGTTCTCCAATATCAATTTTTTCCTAAGAATTATTGTTGTTTTGCATGCTAGATATCATCAGTTAGGATTTTATTCATTTGTTGAAAACAACTTCTCGATAATGTCTTATAGGTGTGACAAGTGACAACGTTTGTTCGCGTCAAATAAAAACTATGTATATATAACCAATAATTCTTTATATATATATATCGATTGCAAGCAACGTTCTTATCATTTTTCAACTCTTTACATTTCGTTGCATTTGTTTTCTGCTAGAATGTTTCAAATTAACTATTCTTAATAATATATTATAAGTTTGGGATGAAAATGAATAGTAAGTCGAAATTCTGAGTAAAATTTTTCGCCCTTAATTAAATACATTCATTCTAGTCTCTATTTATTGGATCAGCCTAATTGGATATTACCTCCATTGCAGTATGCATTATGCTATAAATCAATTCAAGTGCAAAAAAGATTTAAATAAAATTTTAAGAGCTAAAGAAAAAAAGATTTGAATGCAATTCAAAATTTAAAAAGGAAAAATAAAATATTAATTACCCTAGCAATTATTCAAGTACTGGAATGCTATGAATGAATTTAGTATCAAAGTACAAAGTTATCAAAATTCGTCAAAACACCAATTTATCACATTTTTAGAATTGTGCCGTAAAATACAAGATTTCACACATTAGTCGAAATATTTTTAGGTGGTTGGATGATATGTGGCACAAATTGATGCAGTGAATTGTAATATGAATTCAATGAGAAATCAATGAAAATTCAGCCTAAAATCACAATTTGCAAATGACACCACCAATTTGCATTATATGTTTAAAACGAAATGTTAAGGTTAAATTTTTGCTATGCAAATTTATTTAAAGCTTAAAAAATTTTTGGTTTTCAGTTGTCACTTACTTGCTTTATTTACTTATGCTACTTACTTTGTTGCTTATTTATGCTATGAGTTTCGGAATTTCCAAATAGCAAAAAAAGGAAAACGGCAAATATCATAAAAGGAATAGCCTATCCTTAAACGTTAATACTGCTTAATTTGCCACCAAAAACTAATATGCATTTTTACGGAATCGTTCACTGTTGGCCAGGATTGGTAACGGATGTTTGTGAAGGCATTTTCATTTTTGGCAAATGTTCCTCAAGCAGTAAATTTGCATTTTCGTGAAAATTTTTGAGCGATTCAAAGTACTGCAAAAAACAAATCTAATATTGCTTTGAAATAAATGAAGCAATAAGAAATAAAGATTTTGAGAAAGTTAATTTTAGATCCTACGGAAACGACAGTCAAGTAGTGGTTAGTGAAAAATAAAATGATTAACGCTTATCCACTAATTTCGTCAAAGTTTTTGGGGAAAAAAGATAACAATCAACAGCTGATAACTGATAGTTAACCTTATATGAATGCAATTTCAACTCAATGATAAGTAGTTTAATTATTATTGTATTTTAAAAAGAAAACTAAACTGAAAAACAGCCTACACATGGATAAAACGCACATCAAATAGTTCCTTCTGATGTTCCTCCTTATCAGTGGGCAAATGTTCTGGAAATGCTGCAACTCGAGCAGCTTGTTGATCGAATTCGCTTACCATACGCTCATAGAATTTCCCTTTTTCTTCGACCATTTCCGTGGTTCGTGTTTGTTTAAGCTTAAATTAACAAAAGAAAAAAAAGCAAAAAAATTGGAAGAAAGAAAATGCAAAAGAATAAAAGAACTTCTTAGCATGACAAACAGAAAAAAAAGATTTATATAGAGTAAAAGATTAAAAAAAAGGAAAAATTAAGTGTAAAGCTATGCAATCATATTATTAATACATTAAAAGATATCAGAAATATCGATTAGATGGAATACTTGGCGAAAATTTGGTAATAAGACGAACAGCATGTCTAGCTGCATCCATTGTATCGCGTGCTTGCATTAATTTCTTTTGCGCTTCAATCATTGCTAATTTTTCTTGTGTTACGAATCGTCGCATTTTACGAATTGATCGACGACCTATAAAGTTAAAATTTTTGCCTAAAAGATTTGTTCTTTGATCTAAGAAAGAAAAAGCAAAAGAGTAAGATCTTTTTTTCAAAATCCCAAATAATTATTCATAAAGTATAAATATAAGAAAGTTTTCAAATAAATGATTCAATCAGATAAATTGTAATGCTTTGCAATTATCAAAATCTAATCTTATCCATTATTTAAGCTAAAGGTAACGGTTCAGGTAATTTTCCGGAAACTTTGGTAAGTTCCACGTACAGCTAATAACTTTACAGAATGGATGATTCAAAAAAATAGGCTAACAGATTCAAAATTTCAAATGAATTAAATGATTATTTTAGAAAACAAGAAAAATGTTGAAAATAAAAGTGTTATCAGAAACCTTTAGCTTGCATTTCACGATTCATTATTGCTAAACGTTTGACAACTGCTTCAGCTTCAACTAAGGGAGCCTGAAAATAAGTTGTCATTGATAAATTTTAATGTGAAATTCTCAACTGATTATAATATAATACATAAACAATATCTGTAACCCATTACATCTACTACCATTAAATACATTTAATTCGGCATATCAGAGAAATCGCACATGTACGTAATAACAAGACTAGATTAACACTGATAGCAGATAATTATGAATATATAAATAATTCACGCTCAATGATTAGTTATCATATTGAGAGCTCAACCGATTTTAAACAACTATTTTGTGCTAACGTTAACTATATTATTCAATAATAAAGGCTTATAATAGTGATTTTTTCAACATTCATAAAATGCATGGAATCAGATGGAACGAAAATTTAAGCAAATTGCAATTCAATTTCTCGGTTCTTCCCCGATTACCTGAACACTTTCCATGTGAAATTGTCGGAAAAAGTTAATATTTTGGGCGAATACTTCATATGGATCTGCTGCCTCACCACATTCAACATTTCCATGCCGTAAAATTGTTTCATTATTTTGTAGGACAACTTCTAATCGATCAACCAACTTGTCCACATCTTCCTGATATCTGTAAAGGCATCACTTCATAACAAATTAGTTTTTTTTTTTTAAACAAAGTGTTATAAAATGAAAATTTACCAATCATTATGATAAACTGATAGCAATGACCGATAAATTGATTTGTTAATAATAAAACAATTAGTTTGAGATAGTTTATAAGTTGTAAGAAAATTAATACGATGAACGATGTACTAATTAATCCTTTCTCCTCTAATGAAGTTTCCCATTCAAAAGAATTTTAACAATCAAAAATTTTTACTTATTGTATGTTGTGTCCCCAGCGAACAAAAGACCAATAATAAAGTTTCGTTCTTAAAAGCTTCTTCGCGTTTTTTTTTTTAGATTTGATAATAACAAATTCTTAAATAATTAATGAATCCATTAACTAACTTGTAATATTTTTCGATGTCAACAACAAATTCCGGTGCTAAACGTGTTTGTTCTACGATTCCCATACGTTCGCCTACCTAAAATAATTTTGTTAATTTATTCAAAAACGATAGGGAAAAGGAGCCTTTCAAATTCCTTGTGAATTACTAATATTAGTTAATTAAGCAAGATATGCATCAGCAATTCTTTCAAATGCTTTAGATTTGATGGGATAAACTAGTTGAATTGATAGTAAAATTATGCGTAATGGTACCGAAACATTACATCTAATATATCTCGATCAATTTTTGATCATTTTTCATTTCATTTGTCCTTTTTTTCTCTCGTTTTAAATAATTTTAGTAAAATTGAAATATACGAATAAAGTTTCCCCCATTAATCAAACAATGCCTATTTACTCGAACCTAACAATTATGGTATTTTTTAATGTCATTTATACTAAAAGGTAGAACGAGCCTTAAAGAAAAGTTTTCCAACAGGACCACGTCTTTTTTTCTTCTCAGATTCATCCCCACCAACAGTAGCAGGTGTTCCGGTTTCATCCATCAAACACTACAAAATATTTCAAACCGTTCACAATCAGTAGCCAAATAACAATGAATTATCACGCTCAGGTTTATATTTATAATTTTAAGAAATTTTACGATAAAATCGAAATATAAAAATGTTTGGGATATCACGTTGCATACTTGACTTAAATCTTGGGAATGGTATTTACCTCAGATTGGAATTGCCATGTACTTATTCTCAGATTAATTTATGCATTTTTTTTAAAAAACTTTTGTGAAATTCAATTAACTGGAATTATCGGCAATCTTGCAACAGTGCAAACAGGATTCTTAATGACTAATATCAAATTTGTTTCTGACGGTACCACACTGACATAAATCCATCGTTGAAGATACTACGCTGATGGCAAATTTATCTTCGACGATACCACGCTAGCATCAGATTTATTTTCGAGACTACCATGTAATAAACAAAATAAATTGTACAATAATATGGGGAAAAAGAAAGTAAACAATAAAAATGAATATAATAAAAGTGTAAACATTATAAAGGAAAAAGGAAAAATGTGAACGACCGAACAACAACGACAGCAAATAAATGGTTAATTACGTGAAGCAAAGGTTTTTAATTTTTACAATGATGCAAATTTTTGGCAGATTCAAAAATTATCTATCGTAAGGAAAAAAAAATCAATTAAACTCAATTTCAAATTCAATTAAACTCTTTATTTACTGCTATTGGAAAAATATTTGTATTAACATCTACAAAGTTTGCCAATCAAAGGATAAGAATTTTAAATGTTTGAAAAGTGCTTTACATGGAAAAGTTCTCCTCAGACATTTTTTCGTTTCACCCATTTTTTCGCTTCCTGTCCTTTTTCCCTTTCTGTTCATTTTTCAATTCAGTCATCTGATCGAAACATCTCCGTCATATCAAATTAATATTTAAACATGAAATGTTAATAAATGAATGCCCAGATTAATGATGTAATCTGGAAATAAAGATAAAGGTTAAGTATGAAAGAATTTAAAAAGCATGTGGAAAGTTCCGGAAACTTCATGCATGCCATTAAAAATATTCAGTCTGCTAAATTTTGCTCTTATAATACGGATGATGCAATGTTTCATGTGAAGTTGACCATTGATGATGACCATTATATGACCCATGTCATCATACAGAAAATTTCATGTCGTGACGAAAGTTATCTTATCAATCTGAAACAGTGTTAATCCCTCTTGGCAATGCTAAAGAATGAGGAGGAAAAAAGAGAAGATGAGATGAACATTTAACAGTCATCCTGTCTTTTTTCTCTGTCAAATGCCTTAAGAAGAGGCTGAAATAGACTCGAACAGAAAAAAAAAGAAAAACCGGAAAAAGGAAAAGTGAATTGAAAACAGAAAGATATGAATAAAACAACTGAATGAATGATCATTCGGCTATTGCTTCCTCGTCCTTTTTTATTGATTCATTTTTAATCGTTTTTTTCCTTCTCTTCCTCTCTCTCCTCCTTTTTTCTCTCTTTCCGCCCCCCTTCTCCTCATAATTACTTGCATTAAATGTTTATTTTCGCCAGAAAAAGTATATATATAAATAAAATTGGGAAATAAGTAAGTGGCAATAGCGATGGTCGTTTCTTATCGATATTGTCAATCCTCAAAATGGCTTTTACAGGAATTGGTTTAAGAATGACCCTTGAATGACCCTTTTCATATTAATTTCATATCTCATGACAAAACTGACCATTAAGATGTATAACATGTCGCATCAAAAATTAATTATATTATCTGTTTCAGTGTAAGATAAACGACAATGACATGGACATAAGATTGGCCGTATGACATTTCTCAAAGACATTTCCTTTGTGGTTAGTTTTTTTTTTTTTTTGGAGGAAAAACTTCGTAGAGCTTTGCGTTGTATCTTCTTTTGAAAACTTTCGAAGTGAATGAATTTCGTCAAAATTTTTGTTTTTCTATATTTCTTCACGAAACTTTTTTAGTTGAAATTTAATATTTAAAAAATCAAGTTTCTCACACATTTAATTGCTAATTTAAGGGAAATTTCTTATCAATTTGCAAATTTATGTTAACAAGTTTATCCAAAAAACTTCTGCAAATGCTAAAATTTAGTTGAAAATGTTTATTGCACTGTGGAAATATAAAATGTCTCCTATTTGGAATTGGCAAAATTTCTTTCAGAAGATGAGATTTTCACTTTGTTGCATGTTTTAATTATCATTAAGTGGCTTGATTATCTTCCGCACGCACACATACACCATATAAACACATATTCATACATACACACACACATATTATACATGTATATTCTATTTATTCGTTTATTTATTTGTATACTTATTTATTTATTCATTTATTTATTTAACTTATTTATTTGCAATACAATAAAATAAAAAGGAAGAACTGGAGACTACTCAATTGCGGACATTAAGTCGTCTGGGCGCTATTGAGTCGATGGGTGACAATGACTTGTCGTATCGCCGTTGTGCAACCCACTCTTCTTCGATTTTAACCAATGCTTCATTTCATCAATCCTTAGGCAGTAATTCTTTTTCCTTTTGGAGAACCGAATAGTTTCCTTGCTTACTTCTTAGCAAAGCTTATAATTTTATTTCAATCTTTCAGCTGTAAATTCTTTTCCTTTCAGTGTCGTTTTTTCAAAATGTAATTTTAATTGTTATTTTTGGGAATTTTTTTTTATTAGATTTTTAAACCTTAAAAGTTTTATTTATCATTTACTCAATCGATATTTCTCTTTATCCTATTGTCTCTTTCCTTGTTAACTAATGTCTCATCTTATAAAATAATTTGTTTTATTGGTTTTGTTGCACTTCATTATTTTTCAATAATTTACATTAATGATTGACGGCGTAAATAACACTGATAAGTGATCACTTATCATT